GGAGATGTTATCCCCTTTCCTGCGCGTTCAAAATTAGAGGTCAAAACCCGGTAGACCGCAGACCTCTGCACGGCGACTTTCGGCGATTCCGGAGCCGGTCAAAGAGAGGAAGTGCAATGTAACTGTCGACGAGCTGTACCGGCCCCAGACTCCGCACATACCGCACATGTTGTCGCCGACTTTGTTTCACTGAATAGGGACTGCCTGGGCACAGCCTGGCCCGCCACCCTCGCCCAAGGATCGGCACCGTGACAGGTCAATTTATGGCCCCGTGCCTAAATAGTTAAATTTTTCAGCGGTTCATTTTGGAGTTGTGAAACTTGCTCAGATGGATTCAACGGGCCATTGCGGTGTCAGGCGACTAAAGATTCAAGTTCTTGCGACTATTTTGACCTAGGCTGTCCCAAACGTAATCAAGTCCGGTGGCGGGGCTAGTACTGGAGAGCTAAGGTCAAAATGGTCGTAGAACTTTATTTTTGAGTTGCCTGAAACCACAATCGTGCGCTGGACCCCATTCGCCAAATCCTAAAACTCTAAAATAATCCGTTCAAAAATTTAACTGCCGGGGTCTGGGGCCCATAAATCGGCCTGTCACGCTGCCGACCCTTCGACTCATCGGCTCCGGCGCGTGAATGAGGCGGGGGCGGGGGGCCGGCAGGGGGCCCGGCGCAGAGACAAAGCAGAGGGCTGCATGCAGGCAGCCAGGAGGGGCAGGGGCGGGGGCAGGCGGGGGTCAGCATAGCCCGTCTACGACAGTGCCTTTTCAAAACTCTGCGAGATGACAAAAATCACCGTGCAGAGGTCTGCGGTCTACCGGGTTTTGACCTCTAATTTTGAACGCACAGGAAAGGGGATAACATCTCCGGAAAGAGTAAATGTCAATCTAGAACGTACCATCGCCCTTTTTTCGATATTCCCATTTTCTCAGGATGTGTTGTGAACGAAAGTTGGACCAGAACTGAACTGCCCTGGGGCCTAACTTAGGCGTTCAAAAAAATTTTTGAACGCACCGTCATTGAGATTGATCCCTTCTGAGCCCGTGTGCCAAGTTCCATATCGATACCTCGAACGGTGTGGCCAGGACGGCGTTAGAAAGAGGTCCCTGCGCGTCCCTGGAAATGCCGCTTCTGGGGAGGTGTACCATATCCTCTTAAATACGTCTTTCAGCGACGACATGGAGACGAAAGGGAGACGAAAACAAAATGGATGCTGAGAAAAATGAAGCACGGTGTAAGCCGGTGGTGGGCGTCGAACTACGCAACTGTGGGTTAGAGAGCGAGGGCGGAACCGTTCGGCCAGAACTATTCCGCACGTCTCGAAGAGCGGTGCCGGAATGTCATCAATAGGAGACAATTAAACATCAATGCAGCATGACTTTCCAAGAAGTAAGTCTGGTATCCTTTTAACGACGTACAATCCGTTGCTGTCATGTACTCACTAAATACATACTTAGAGACAGTCGCATAGTCGCATATCAAGAGAAGTCAACGTCAAAGTCTACACTGTAATGGAAAGCAATGTGCGAACTCCTGAACTAACGGTGTCACTCTTCAAGACTGGCGGAATCGTTCTGGCCAAGCGGTTCCGCCCTCGCTCTCCAACCCACAGTTGCGAGGTTCGACGCCCACCACCGGCTTACACCGTGCTTCATTTTTCTCAGCATCCATTTTGTTTTCGTCTCCCTTTCGTCTCCATGTCGTCGCTGAAAGACGTATTTAAGAGAGGAAACGGCGACGAATCGCTGACAGAACGGCGTCGTGCCGACGACGAGGCGGAGACGAGCGTCTCGTCTTCTTCCCGTCGCCATTTCGCCTCTTTGTCGTCTCCAATTCGCCTTCCTTGCGCCTCCAAGCCGCCTATCTTTCGTCTCCCGCAGGAGACGAAAATACGACTAATTGGCGCTATCGAGTTTTACACGGGCGCCGCCGTCGCCCGCCCCCGGCCCGCTCCCCAGCGACTCCCCGCCTCCGCCGTCACGCTCCCCGCCTCCCCAGTGTAGGTGGGGAAGGTGCACGACGGCAGGGCAGCCAGCAGTGGCGGCGCCGTGCGACCCAATCACGGCGGTGATATGAAGCGAGCTGCGGACACCTGTGACCTGGCCCCGCCGCGCCCCGCCGCGCCCCGCCGCGCCCCGCCGCGCCCCGCCACCGCGCCCCGCCACCGCGCCCCGCCCACCTCCCCCTCCGCGCCGTTCACATCTTTGACACTCCCACGCCTGCCAGGTCTCTCACTTTATCACCATTCCGGTTCCCGTTCCGCTCCACGGTCCACAATTTATTTCCCCCTCCCCCGCGACTTGGGCGAGGCGTCCTCCGGTCGGTCCTCGGCCGTCCTCGGTCCTCCGGGGCGGGGCGGACTTTCCGCCGGAAACTGTTGGGATTCGACGCGTTGCCGCGCGCCGCTGAGCGCTGCCACGCGTGGCGGGGCGTGGCGTGGCGGGGCGTGGCGGGGCGTGGCGGGGCGTTGCGGGGCGTGGCGGGGCGTGGCAAGGCGTGGCGGGGCGTTCGCCGCGCTGCCACCGTGACAACGACTCGATTCCGGGCCGCCGTTGTCTGGCCGTGGGCCCGGCGGCTAATCCGGTCGCCGGGAAAGAGTCAGGTGAAGTGGCGGCGCGTCCAAATTGTTTCGTCCTGGGTCCTTAATTTGGCTGCGCATTTCGGGACAAAGCGTTTGGCCGACAATGCGCGCAAAGCGGGATCGCCCAGCCCGGCCAGGCCGGCGCCCTGTTGTGTGCGCGCCGCGTCCGGGGAGTCTCATCCCCGACACCGCCTCGTCGCTCCGTCTCTCTCACGCCCACGCGACGCGCACCATGAGTGCGAGAGAGACGCAGCGCCGAATGCGGTGTTCTGAATCAACTTACTGGGGCCGGTGGCCGCCGAGACAAAGGAAGGACGGCCAGGACGTCGCGGACGCGGCCAAGGGCCGGCCGGCCTGGAGGTTATCACTGGCAAGCAGCTCGGGGCTCAGCCAGCCAGGCAGGCAGCAGCCCTAGGTAGATTGGGGTAATCTCGTCCCCGAGTCCGTCCGTCAGGCAGGCCGTGTTGTTTCGGCGAGACGCTGCTCGCCCGCGAGAGAGAAAAAATGTTTAGGTTGGCGGACACGGCGCGGGTGGGCGGCCCGTGGCTTGGCCCATGGTGGCTATCGCGCCTGGCCAGGCTCGTCCAGACAGCGGTCTGGGGCGCCGCGGACGGCCCGACGGCCCAACGGCCCTGGACTGGCTCGCTGGAGCCAAATGACGTGCGAATCTGTCCGGCCACCTTCCGAGCCACTGACCCCTGGACGCGCTCGCCCGGCCGCCCGGCCACTCGCCTGGTTTGATGCTTGATGCGTATCGCCTGACACGGACTGAGATTCGGCAAGGCCGGTCCAGTTCCAGCGGGGCTGTTCCAGTAGGCTGTTCCAGCGGGGCTGTACCAGCGGGGCTGTACCAGCGGGGCTGTACCAGCGGGGCTGTACCAGCGGGGCTGTACCAGCGGGGCTGTACCAGCGGGGCTGTACCAGCGGGGCTGTACCAGCGGGTTGTTCCAGTGGCCCGTTCCACCGAGCTGTTCCAGCGGGCTGCTCCAGCGGGGCCTGCAGCGGTGCGCCCCACCTTCCCGCCGCCAGGGCGGCCAATCCCTCGGCCGCAGACGCGCGGCACCAAAGGAGGCCAACGAGGCCCAGATCAAAGTGACGACCCTAGAGGGGGAGGCTGACCGGGCCGGCCGCGTCACTGGGTGAGCTGATCTGTGGCACCCAGTCGAGTGTGAACGCGCACCTACACTACTTGTCGGTCCCGGCGAGCGGAGCGCAGGCTGCGAGCCTCGCCACGGCCCCACGCCGCCCCGCGCCCGGCGGCCACCTCATATCACAGACGACTGGGCATGCATCTCTCGGCCCGGCCGGATAAAAGGGAAAGGCCGGCGGACTGGACGGCCACTATTTTGAAACAGCCGCGCCGTAATCCAGTCCCAGTCCATCGAGGAGCGAGCGGGGTGCGGAGCGACGCGCCGAGTTCGACGCGTTTTCCGAACCGGGCGCCGCGCCGCCACGCTCCAGCGTGGGGCGCTTTGAGGGCGGCTTAGCGGCTGGAAGGTGTGGAGGGGGAGGGGGCGGCGTGTTCTGGAGCGATACAGCCTTCATGCGGAGCATCTCCGGCGCCTCCATTGTTTTTGTAGCCATTCGCGGCGGGGAGGTGCGGGGGACGTGGGGCAGGCAGGTATGCTAATCAGCCGCTATTGTGCCCCGGGCAGACGAGCCGCCCCCGCCTCCTTCCCCCCTCCCTCCCCATCCGATTTTCTTCCGCCTTTCCCACCAGGACGACACACGCTTGTCATTGTTGTCATTCACCCCGCCTCCAGTGTGCAGGGCCAGCGAGGTAGCAACACCGCAGCAACCTGGCTGGCGTCCGCCCTCGCATCGACCCGCCCGGCAGATAGGCAACCGGACCAGCCTGCGCGCAGAGGTGTGTGACGGGACTGCCTGCCCACCAGGCGTTATGTCCTTGAGTTCCTGCTTCCCGCATATGAAAAAAATGTTCCGGAACAAAAAAAATAGTGTGAGCGTGTATGTTGTGTACAAGAATCATCATAGCTTGATCGCGCTGCAAATCTTTCGTCGAAAACAAAGAAACAAAGAAACGATTACAGTAATACGATGGCATTGGAGTCAACATTGAAGGACGTTGTGGCAGCTAGCGTTGTGTCTAGGCTAGCTGCCTCCTCTCCAGGTATGCTGCTGCTGTTTTACACTCGTTTAATTTGAACTGACACCCCCTCTTCGTTTGCGCGCGCGCGCTCTCACACACACACACACACACGACATCGCGGCGCCGTCAATTATTTCCGCTAAACCGCTCCTCATTGCTGCTCTGCTTGCGGGGAAGTATAGTCGCTAATCCCCCCCCTTCCCCCCGCATTACGCAGTCATCATGGCGGCCCGTAAAAAGGGCTGCAGGTGGCGCTCCACGTCGTTATCGCCCACGTGCAGGGCGACGCGCAGGGCGACGTGCAGGCGACTTCATAAGCGGACAACTTTGCGCGGTAAAAGCCGACGCCACTTGTTACACTCATGTCGAGTCTAATGTCGAGCAGAGAGAGAGAGAGAGAGAGAGAGAGAGAGAGAGAGAGAGAGAGAGAGAAAGAGAGAGACCACTGCTTTCCCTGCCAGTCTGCGCGTTGCGTTTGTCGCTCTCCGCCACGGCGTTGCCGCGTCGCCGCGTCGCCTTCGTAAGTATGCAGATAACGGCGGCAGTATTGGCCTGGGACCCTGTAACCTCTATTGGGCATTAATATGCATGAAAGGAGGCCAGAGGCCGATACCTGAACAACAACAAGGCGGGGTCACCCTGCGGACTGATTCCTTGGAGTCGTTTTCATCGTTCTGCCTGTCTCGCTCTCATGAGGCGTACTGCATAGGTGCAAGGGAGACAGCGACGGAAACAAGTCTCGAAATGATTCTGTTGCAGGCTGTGGCAACAGAGGGCTGTTTCGATCAAGGTACTTGTAAGGCATCGCCCGGAGGTAAGGAACTTACTCCAACACAATCAGGCTGTATGTTCCCCAAACATATCCCCTGCTGCCGCCTGAGAGGCGGGCAACTTAGACTCTCGAATGCAGACAAAAGGCACGTCGCTTTGCCCCATTTCCTTCCCGACGCCCCCTCGCGTCGCCCTGGTTGTAGAGAGTGCCTAGTGCCGACTCCGCGTTGCAGCTGTTTTTCCAAATCGGGGAGCGCGTGTTAACTCGGCTGACATCTCTGTGTGTACTTATGCACCCTCTTGTTCTTAAAGCCTTGTCTTACTTCGCCCCACAATGGTGCCTACATTACGAAGAAGACGCGACACAATACACGGCGTGACGCGGTCCTCGGGCCCCCGCCGCACCCCGCCGCACCCCGCCGCACCCCGCCTCAAAAGGCCGGATGAAATTAATCAAGTTGCTATTAGAAATTCGGATTCGCGAAGCGCGAGGCGGGGCGCTCGGCTCCTCCTGCTGCTCCTTGTAGTCTGGAGAGGCGTGGCCTGGCCGTGGCGGTGGAGAGTCTCGCCAACCCCGCCAGCCTCGGCGTCATCAGCCGGCTTGTTTCCGCCTTTCAAATCTTCGCGCGCTTTCACTCACCGAGCTTGTTTGTTTGCCGCGACATTCGGCCACGCTCTGTGTCTATGTGCGAGAGGGAGAGAGAGAGAGAGAGAGAGAGAGAGAGAGAGAGAGAGAGAGAATGAGCAGTGTGAATGTGTGTATGTGGCGTAGGGAGGTGGGGGAGGCGGGGGGAGGACACCCTCGCCGGGGCGCCCCTAGGTAGACGGAGACGGCTACTTTGCTCCGCTCTAAGTAGGCAAATTTTGAGGCTTGGCGCCTCCCTCAAGCTGCCTCTGAATCCAAGCGTGTGTGCGCGTGTGTGTGTGTTTGTGTGTGTGTGTGTGTTGGTACCGGTGTGCGCGCCGCCTGCGCCACCCCATTGGGCTGCGTGCGTGCCTCATGCATATGCATGGCCCCGGCGTGGCGTGGCGTGGCGTGGCGTGGCTCTCGAACCTCCTGCCGTCGCGGCCCTCGGCCTCGGCCCATGGCAGACAGTTTCTTGCCGCCGTCACGGAGCACCTTTTGTCCGAGCCGCCAGCGCACCGTCATTAGGGGTGCACCTTCCTGACACTGATGGAGAGGATTAGCACCGCGCCGCCAAATCGCCGCGCCCCTGCCCGGAGTCGAGCCAGGGTCCTTCTGCTCCATGCGCGAGTGTGGTAGCCAGGGCTGGCACCCGTCAAAAGTGTGGGTTGTAGAAAGTGTTGTACATACCAGCGCGTCTGGGGTGCGGCGCGGACCGCGGGGTTGCGGCGGGGCGCGTCGGCGCCGCAAGGGCACCGAGTCGGGCTGTGCCCCGCCTCGCCTCGCGCCCTCGCTCGCGCCCCACAGCGTCATTCTAATTAGTCAGTTTATGAAGGAAACAATTAAATCGGATTCTGAGAGACACGTCAACAGAGGCAGCCTGGCGCGAGGGCGCGGCGCGGCGTGGCGCCCTCGACGACGCGACCCCTTCCCCCGCGAGATTACCATCTCGCTGGGTCGCGACACTGGCGCCCCCTGGCGGTGAAAAACCATGCTTCGCCCCGCACAGCGCTGCACAGGTGGCGGGCAGCCCGAACCGGGCGAGCCGGCGGTCTGAGTGCTTCCCACTTTCTTGTCGCCAGCCCGCGCTGCCCGCCCGCCTCCCCGCCGCGGCGCCCTACTCCGGTAACGCACGTAATTCGCTAATGTGTTTGTGTTGTCGCCGGCCAGGGGCCCGGCCAGGGCGGAGTGCTGGCTGGCGCCAGGGCGGCCGCGGGGCGGCTGGCCGGCAGGCCGTCAGGCAGGCCGTCAGCCAGGCCGTCAGGGTGCACGCAGCAGGTGCCGCGCGGTCCGCGGGGAGGCCGGTGCCGCCACCCGGGAGGCCCGCAGTGCATCCGGCCTGGACCCTTACCTGGGGCTCCCCTCGTGATGGGGAAGATGGCCGAGGTGCCCCGGACGGCCCCAGACCTCGGCCAGACCGCCCAGGCGGCCCTCGGACTGCCGACCGCAGGGCACTGCAGGGCACCGCGGGGCCGCAGCCAGTCGCCCGGCTTCCGCCAATCTCTGCCCTTCGCCCTCCGCCGGTAGAGAGCGCCCCGCCCCGCCCCGCCCCTCAGCCCTTTGACTCAACCTGCCTCACCGCCCATATTAATCGCCGGCCAATTTCCCCTGCCGCACTGCACTGCCAAAACGGCGCCTTGAGCCGACAAGATTCCCGATTCCAGGTAGGAAATTAAAGGTTGTAAGCCTCCAAAGTCGATGTGTACTCTACACTTTCTTAATTTTACTTTGTACCTCTTTTACTTGAAACAACACAAAGACATAAGAGCATAACCTATTTAGTTTCTCACGCCATCTTTTACTTTGTACGTGTAATAAATCATAAGAATTAAGTTTCACAAAAAAATAATGCGACTCTGTTGTCATTTCACCTTTGAGACGAACCTGCGTGTTTTTTTTTCCTGTCTTTTTTCCCTGCCTCTGCGGTGGCAGATTCCCCAGCCAACCTGTGATTCGCGGTATTGAGTTAACCTTGAGCTGCACAAGGCGGTCGTTAGGCAGGTGGGGCTGGCTGGCCGCCCTGGCCGCGCTGGGCGCCACAAGCCGCCCTGATTGCGCAACAAGCGTCAAACAAGAGGTGAATCACGTTTTTCTCCCTTTTCCTTCCCTTCCCTGCCTCGAGCCGAGCCTGTCCGCGAACAGCTGTAATTTGCCGGCGTCATTGATCCATCCGCGCCGAGGTCCGTCCGCGTCTGTCTGTCTGCCTGTCAGTCTGTCGCTCTGTGCCTGTCTGTGTGCCTGTCTGTGTGTCTGTCTGTGTGTCTGTCTGTGTCTCTGTCTGTCTATCTGTCATCGGGATGGAACTCCAGGCACGTGTATTCGGAGCTGCAGCTACAGAAATGTGACTTGGCAAGGGGCAAGATAGCAATTATGGCCCTTGTAACCGCAGCAGCGTTCACACTATAAACGATCGCGGACTTTTAACTCTGCGTCGTGTACCGGTGCTGTCGCATCGGTGTACCGGTGCTACCGGATCGGTGGGTCGACGCAGTTCGGATTCGGGGAGCTGATCGCTGATCCGTGCCGGAATTCGGCCCTCGCGGCCGAAGTTCGCCACCGTTTAGCCCTCTTTTCACCTGCCAGCGGCCCAGCGGCCCATCGGGGTGGGGGAGGGCGAAGACGGGCCAAGACGGACAACTTTTAATGCAGTTAAACGAAGCGCGGGGATCACCGCCCTCTCTTTCCCCACGTGAATTCCACGTGTACAACGGGCCGGACTGTTTGGATGGGTGGACGGCCGCCCCGCGTGGAGGGCCCCACCCCACCCCGCCCCACCTCACCCCACCCCGCCTCGCCCCGCCCCGCCCCGCCCCGCCCCACGCCACGGTGGTGAAGGGCCTCGCCTGTGGTCTGCACAGTGATAGAAGTGAGTGTAGGGGCAACTTGTGTGGACCCTCGGGTCTGGCGCGCCGCGCTGGCCCGCCCGGGTGTTAGGCAACCCTTTCTATCAATTAATTGCGCGAAATGGGAGGGAGAATCCATTGTCACCTCCAACCCCGGGGAGGGGCGGGGCGGGGCGGGGTGGCCAGACCAGACAATCCACAGACCGTTCTCGACCACAGAGACGTAGGTGGAGTCGCTGGGCCCGGCTCGGCTCGGCTCGGCACTGCCTCGGCGCTCTCGGCCCCGCACTCGTTCGGCTCGGCTCGGCTCGGCTCGGCTCCAACTGCCTCCATGGAATCGGCAGCTCGGACGGGGCCGGTAAGTTTAGGCCCGTGGTAGGTCCCGTCCCGGACGTTCATTGTCTGTCCGGCGGTACCGCACCGCCTGTGTGTGCGTGTTAGTGTGGTGTGGTTGTGTGTGTGTGTGTGTGTGTGTGTGTGTGTGTGTGTGTGTGTGTGTGTGACGCAGAAAGGGGTAAAGGGGTGGGTCCAAGGACCACCTGTGCACATTTCGTGCAAGTTAGAGAACAATGGGCGCGCAATACAGACGGTGCCCCCGCGTTGTCTATCCAACCTATTCCCCTCCTCCCGTAATTATAATTCACTCTCAGTCGGGCTGACCCTGCTGCGCTGTGCCGGTCGGACTTCCCTGCTCTTTATACGGGAGGGTCTTTGCGGTCCTGCACGGGTTCTGCGCCGCTCCTGCAGCCATCTCCGTCCAGCCGGTCCGGCAGGCATGACGG